TTAGTTGACCTCGCTGCGCTGTCATGCACCACGAGAGGTGATTGCCCAAGTGAAACATGACCGTACGCGTTTTGGCTGATACCCCATTTCGTGGGATAATCCCTCCCTAAGTCTTTTTCATTCCGTTGAATGCTTTGAATAATGGAATGTTATTTCAGACGCACACTCACCCTCCAGAAGCATTGTTTCTTTGACAAAGATTTGCCGAACACCTCGACAGCACCGCAACAACTCTCTACAGTACATGTACTAGTAATCCTTTGTGGAGTAGTGTTGCGCACCGCTTCTTGTGTTGTTGTTGCTGATAAGAGCTGTCACCTATTGTGGTCAGTTTGTTATAATAGTATCAACAGAGGTCCCCATTCCCCAAGATCAGGCTAGGCATCCTTTGGCTATTAGTGTCTACCGCGACAATCCGTTGTTAATAACCCGAAGAATAAAGGACTCAATCCCTGTTCTTTCTACGGTATCCACGAAGCAAGCAACTAAACAAATCAATCAACCATGATAATTACGCACCCACCATCGCGCTGACACTCGTCGTGATTTCCTTTTTCCTGTACGGAGGCCTCGTCTTTATCCGAAAGTTTGCGCTGCAGATTGCCCAGCAAAATCACGACGCTATATTGGCGATGGATCAAGCGGATGAAGAAAAACGACAAAAGAGAGAACGGGCCGCCGATGCGGCAGCGGCATCCGCCTATGCCAATGTGGAACCATTGATTACACAATCCAAGTCCACGGATACAGCCAATTCCACTGCCACGCCGCAAGTTTGAGGAACGAAGGAATGATGAATTGAAGAATACAGAATGTCAAAATGGATTTTAATAGGCTCGGGACTATGTTACCTGCCAAGAGAAGCCTGCAACGAGAGAGTTTCCCAGAAAGTCAAAACAATATACATTGATTCGAAAGCGTACCAGGGGGCACATTTAGTTCATTGGAAGGCATCTTTGTCCGCAAAATTTTCAAGGATGCTCCATAGAGAAGAGTTAAGAATCGAATCATGCTCATGCCACAACAACTTTATACTAGGAAAACGATTTCGCTGTTAAAAAATGAGATCTGGCAACTCTGTCTGGGTCTGCTTACCGTGAGTCTTGGAACGAGTATTTATTTATTATTTGTGATCAGACTCGACTCAGTCTGTGGTCAGCATTGGAAATCTCGTGTTTTGACTGGACTGGAGTAGACTAGACTAGACTTCTCTGGGAGGACGTGTGGATTGCACGGACAGATACATTGCTATTTGTTAGTATTAGTTCATTTTGTCTGCAGTGCCAAACTCTCAAGGCAACTAGAAATTGCTTGCTAGTAGGAGTGCCCATATGCTTGATGATGAAACTTTATAGCTAGGTAGACCTGTCCATAGTGTACCTGATCAAAAGGCAGAGTATTACTTTAGTAGTAGAATCGTGTACCAACCAAGGTCTAGTCAATTTCTTTCAGCACAGCCTGATCATACATGCAGCAGGTCAGCAACCCAACATTATCGTCATCAGATCATCAGTCGCCAGTGGTTAGAATGAGTTCCTGCAGCGGCTAGCTAGCGGTAGCCTTCGAGTGGTTGGTGCCCTTTACCTCAGGAGTCTCTTCAGCTAAAGCATGCCAAGGCTACAGTATCGTATCAAGCAATTTCTTCATCAAGGGACTACTGTACTGTATGGTGTGGCCAAACAATAGATATGACTATCTACTAGCTAGCTAGTCTGTGTTAGGTAGGGTTCCGTCCCGTGCCAGTTCCACCGTTCCACTATTAGTAGCTAGAGGGCAGCTTCTGATAATAGCTCCACCAGAAATGTGGGCCGATGTTCTGCTGCATCGTTCGACGGACGCGTTTCTCTAAGAGCCAGGGGATGTGCACTTAGCCACAAACGCTTCAAAATTCAAATTTGGACATCCCCAGTCCAATCCACAAACGAACTTTTGCAGTCCACATATCCATATCCACATCCGCATCAAGATGAGCTCGCAACGCAAAAGCCGCTCGGATACCAAGCGTGAATTGGACGCTCTTCGAGGACAAAACAGCACAAAAAGCTTTCGATCTCTGCCATATAACATCAAGCCTTATCCAACACCGAATGTTGCCGGTATACCCCTTGCATCCGATCATAATGACAACGATAAAGGTGCCAACCCGGAGAAAGCAAAGAGCATTCCTGTAGTGAGTCCTGCTCTTCCCCAAGGAACGTCTCAATTATCTCCCGACTTATCAAGTCACCCCACAGAACAAATAATGAAAGAGAGCAACAAGCATACCGCAAGCAATTCTTCCAAACCTCTACTAGCAGCGCCTGCCGCCAATTGTGCTAGCACCTACAAGTCTCCCACTTCCATGCCATCGGCAGTCAAGCCAAGAGCTATCCCCTTTGGTGACGAATCTACCCCCGTCGTTTGCAACAGTAACAAGAAGGAATCAGATTCCTACGACGTAGAGAGCGTGAATATGTTTATTCAAGAGTTCCTGTCCGGTGATAGTTCAGCGTCTGATAATGATAACAACAACATCAGCAGCAACAGCAATGAAAACAGTCCTACAAATAGTGGTGGAGAGAGAGAGCCGATAGCCAAGAAAGACCCTCCCAGTAGAAGTACTGGCACACCCGAACCCAAGCCTGTTACCCACAAAAAGGAAACGCCACAGACATCACCCAGAGGTGGCCGCGTTACAGAAAAGATACCAAGCATTATTGAGGATACCGGCGATGACAACCCACTCAATCTTTCCGGCATTAGTTGGACGGAAGAAGGTGTCAAGGTTGGAAGCAACGCCTTTCTCGCGAGGCACCCTGATCCTGATCATGCCATTTTGTACAGAATCGTCTCCAAGGAAGAAGCGGCGGACCTCATGGCACGACAAGATACTGAAGACACGGAATGTTCCCTGCTTCCCAAAGCCGAAGAAGGTAACATTGACACGTCTCCAGGGAACACATCGACTGCGAGTGCTCAAGATCCAAAGCTAGCTTGGAAGATTCGAGCCATTCTCTGCTTCATTGGCGCCATGTTCCTAGTTGTGGGTCTCTTTGTTGGCATCGCCGTGGCCCTAATGAATGTCAACAAACTCAACCCGCAGCAATCAGAACTTGCCAGCATCACAAACAGTCCTACGCCGATCTCAGTGATGAATGAATCAACTGCTCCAATACCCCAACCAACGTCGCCCCCCAGCAGGAAACCCTCTGTGATGACAGCAAGGCCCGTCGCCACCAAGATTCCAACTGCAGTCGTCGAGGATGCCAACGACAACTTGAGCACCCATGCCCCGACATTTCAACCTTCCGTTCTGCCACCAGTATCCTTGTACGATGTGCTGGATTTGTCACAAGATACATGGGGAGCCATGGCGGATAGCAACTCACCGCACTCGAAAGCCTTCACTTGGTTGCAAGAGGACAAGACCTTGCCCTACTATTCTCCGAGAAGACGACACCAGCGCTTTGCACTTGGAGTTTTCTTCTTCGCAACCACCGGAGCTAGGTGGACACGCAGCGATTCATGGTTGGGCAATGGCGTGAACGAGTGTGAATGGTGGTCCGTTGGTTGCGACAAACACGGGCATGTTGTCAATATGACATTCACCAATAATTCTCTGGAAGGGACAATCCCAATGGAACTGGGGCTCCTCACATCCCTTCAAGTCTTGATCTGTCCTTCAACAGGATGAGAAGCAACATCCCTTTCCTGGGTCCATTGACCAATCTACAAACACTTCGACTCGATCACAACATGCTGTCAGGATCATTTCCAGACATGCGAAACTTGAAATCCTTGAGCAATTTGAATGTTACATCCAACATCCTATCCGGAACTCTACCAGCGGGCTTGGGTGCACTGACAAAGCTTGAATGCGTTGGAATAGCGGAGAATCGGCTCACTGGAGCTCTCAGCAACGACATTGGACGCTGGACAGATCTAAAAGAGCTTTGTCTCCACAAGAATCAATTCACGGGGCCGATCCCAACAATAGTAGGCACATTGACCAACCTAGAGTCCCTGCTCCTCCATACGAACGATTTCGTCGGGGCAATCCCCAGCGAAATTGGACAGATGCGAGGCCTTCGCAGGCTCCTTCTCGATTCCAACAAACTTTCGTTTCGAATTCCAACCGAGCTGGGGGTTTTGACACAGCTAGAGTTTCTTTGGCTCTCCACCAATTCACTCTCTGGACCTATTCCTTCGCATCTTGGTCTCCTCACATCACTGCAAGGTCTCTATTTGCATGTGAACGAAATCACGGGCGTGTGCCCCTCTGAGCTAGGGAATTTACGCCAACTAAAAGAGCTAAGACTGTTTGAGAATAAACTCCGAAGTGCCATTCCAAGCGAGCTTGGTAATCTTGCATCCTTGGAGCAACTATCAATCGGTTGGAACACTTTCTCTGGTTTCATTTTCCCAGAAGTGGGTCAGCTAACAAATCTTGTCGAGCTTGATCTTGCCTCCAACAACTTGGATGGTAAAATCCCTTCCACTCTGGCCAATTTGACGAATCTCAAGCATCTATGGCTGTTTTCGAACAACCTCGAGGGTCAAATACCAGTTGGCATTGGACAACTATCACATCTGGAGCAAATTTTGCTGTTCTGGAACATGCTATCAGGCTCGTGAGTTTCATGGTGCTGTTGGAAATTGTAGTCGTCTCTATCAAACTAACACTTCTGCCTGCTGCTTTTCCCCCTCACCAGAATTCCTTCAGAAGTTGGTCTTTGCACCCATCTGAAGATTGTGTCATTGGAATCCAATGAGTTAACCAAGCGAATCCCGAGCGAACTTGGAACACTTAGGCAGCTCGAGTGGCTAATTTTATATGACAATAACCTTGAAAATGCCCTTCCATCAGAACTTGGACTTATAGACAGTGCATCTTGGATGCGCTTTGAGAAAAACAATAGACTACGAGGAAGTATTCCAAACGACTATGAGATGTTGACCAACTTGGAGCATTTTTCTGTCCACGGCACATCTGTAACTGGCTCGGTCCCCGAGGGCTTTTGTGAATTGATTTTCAACCAGCAGCTAATGGTTGGTGTCGAGTGTGAAGAAGTCAGTTGTGACTGTGGTTGTGTGTGTTACGATTGATTCAGTTACATGATGAGCAAACGCACTACCACCTGGTTTGTTCTATCGCAGCAGCTATGTATTGTTTGCTATGCTATGCTATCAATAAAGATCTAGCTTTTTGAATTCATTCGTTTCCCTGAAACTATGGACTATTACTTCTTACATGCAGACAGCAACATGGGCACTGCAAAGAGTTTCAACCACTCTTGGATGGGCTCAAAGACAGCAAAGGGACCAACACCATGACGTTCCAGACTGTGGTTGTGTGTTGTGTGTGTTACAATTGATTCGATTCAGTTCCATGATGAGCAAAAGCTCCACCTACTACTAAAGACTAGTAGATCCTTGGATTACATAATACAGTATTGCTTCATATACCGGGCAGACCCCGGTGATCTCTGACCCCGTTTATTGTGGTGGTGGTGGGTTTGGTTGGTTGGTTATCCTTAGGGTTAGAGATTTACTTCAACCCCCTAAGGATCCAAAACGTACTATTCATCGTTCGACCCTGACCATGGGTCTCTGTTGCTCTGTTCTCAATTCCCAAAACGAAGCACTGCCAACACTTCCACCTGGACCTCGATGGTGACAATGGGAGGCGAAAGAAGCAAGAGTGTGATACAAGTCGAAGATGCGGTGTTCTGTGTTGACCTCGACGTGCACGCTGTCTCAGATTCTTCTGCTTTGGTTTGCTTCGGACCAAAGCATGGCATTTCAAGTGTTTGACGACGCCTCTATCTTCGCTAGGAGCAGACACACAAGATTATCGTTAAGTTCGTCAAGCTTTGAGAAAGAAGATAAAAATGACGATGCAATTCACTATCAGAAAGGTCAAAATAGAAGAAGCCACTTGCAGTCTGGAGCTGACACAGATTTCATGCCACGGCACATAGGCACCGTTTCAGACCATCACACCTACAGCAAATATGTGCACAATGATTGGGGCATTGAGCAGTACCACCACCCAACCCCCGAGTTTCCAAGCACAGTTGATGCCGTTGCTGATGCAGCCTTTCATGCCATTTCTGGCACGCTGCAAGGAAAGGAAAAGTTGGACCCCAGTATTGCCAGCAACGCCATGGCGAGAAACCGAGTATTCGACTACCGACCTGTCAAAACTGATAATGATGTTGGCAGACTGGGTATCGAAATTGATGGCGTCAATTTACTGCAAACAGATTCCAGCATTGGCCACCATGAGCATCGTTACCAAACCAGCAACCCAAGCTTTGATCAGAGCAGCGCAGATACCCTGAGGAAGCTGATTTTGGTGCTTGCCGGAAAGTTGGCAAACAACATGGGCCACCAAGATAGCTCAGGTTCCCTCCCGGTTGCCATATATTTCAACACCGTCAAGCAAGCCCTTGCTGCAAGCCAACAACTTCAACTATTGAAGCATGAAGCTATGGAATCACGCGAATATGATACCGCTCATCAACACATCACTACACCTGCATTCGAGAATATTACAATACTGTGCCTTGGACAGGACGATGATATTCCTTCAAACATGATGAGAGCAAGCAAAAAACCGCTGAAGTCTAAGGCAATTGGTTTGAAGCGAGGAGCACGAAAGAAACGTCCCAATGTCGCAGATATCCGAGGGTTCGTGATTGCTCTACAGCCGACGGATCTAAACCGTGATGTGATGCCACCAGGCCCGTCTGTAGGAGCGATTTCATCCTTTCAGGGACTCGTGGCCAGAGCGGCGTTAGAGGAATTGCCAGTCATTATGGTTTCTCCTCGTTTCCTAGCAAACGAGATGCCATACATGGCTGGATCCGGTCGAGGCTGGGACCAAAGCGTGGGAAGTTCTCAGGCAGCTACATACGGTGGCGCGGAGCCCCCCAATGGTCCCACACCGTGGGTTCTACGCGATTTCAATCCTCCCGTGTTTTGTTGGATTGGCAACGCTGTGTATTTGAATTCCGAAGGACGTCGGAGGAGGGCAATCGCGAAGTCCGGTCACGGGTCAACCACATCTGAATACTCTCAAATCGTTTTGACTCAAACGGTCATGGACGGGGGCCACCCCTGGCATGTCTTTGCAGCCCGACGAGAAGTGGATGGGTCCGTTGCGACGAGAGGGAAAGAAACCATTGTCTACGACTATTTGGCCAGCACGAAGACTTCGTCCGGTCGACCTACACGGAGCATTCTCCAGCACATTCTCTCTGAATTTGGAACCGCCTCTTGAACATTCAATTGCGTGTAGATGGACAGAGCAGGTTTGAATTGGTGCCCGATTGATCAGGACGATGTCTACGTGTTCCTGAAATGCAGCCACCAAATTACTAGCTAATAGGTGTGTGTGTGCACGTACAGCACCTCTGCCGGTGTGGAAGTGCGCACCTCGGAGGCGGTGTCACGGTCGGCAGTCGAGCTAGAGTTTAGATTGACAGTCGCCATACTCGAGGCAAACTCGTTCCGCCTAAACAGGAAAAGCTAGGATTGCAATGGCTGCACTGCCATTGGACTCATACGGTACCATTCATTCGAACATCCGATGTGCTGATGTGATGATCCATAATCCTTAATGATTACTAGTAGCTAAGAGGAGAGCATCAAAGCATGTGATGTTAGTGCTGGTTCGTGGTTCGTGGTTTGGGGTCTATATGACTTCCTTATTCGTCCCCTTTGAGTGCCATCATCAGAACCGGTACCGGTACTACTAATGTTGGCATCGTGAAGGACACCCGCAATACGGTACCTAGTTCGAGGCACGACAAGCTAGTATTCCGAAGTGGATAGTACAACATTTTAAAATAAGCAACCGTTGGCTGATCACCACTTGCGTTTGCCTCCCACATTCCATGCTAAGTGATGTTGCTTTGGTTGAATGTGATGGGCCTTTCGGGACCTCCGTGGCACTCTGCTGTTGCTTGCTTGCTTGCTTGCTGGCTAGCTAGCGATAGCTCACAGCACTGGCTGTGTCATTGGTCCGGGCAAAGTTTAGCCAGAAATCAAACTGTTGAGGGGAATGATTCACCCTTCAACGGCAAGACCTGAACCAAAAGACGCTACCTGTTGCCTTTTAGCCTGAACCTAATGGTTTGTAATTCTTGGGACCGCCAAATAGCGCCAAGAGCCTTTGCTGTTGCGAGGCAAGAACCTTAAATAGGGACTTCGTATGTGACTCGGGTTTTCGGCAGAGCAGGCGTGGACTCGACTTTTTAGTGTCCTGCAGGAAGATCACATTATCTGTCAAAGAGCTTCAACTTCTCATCATCATTCGGCTGGCCATGGCAGCAACAACAAGAGGGCCGTCTTCCCAAGCCATGGCCCAACAACAACCATCGTTATCGTTGTTTGAGTCTGTTACCAATAAGGATTATGATGCGATAGCGGACTTGTACGCAGATAATGCCCGCAGGACGATTCTTTCTTTCCTTGCCATGAGGCATCGATGGTCTCCTTTCGTCGGAATTGAGAAATCAGGTACGTGGGCAAGTCATAGTAGTGTCAGTACGTAGCCCTGGTACATTTTCTACGTGAACTTCGCGAGAGAAATGAGACTCTTTTCCCCCTTTCGCTGCTACCAACAAACAACAACATCCACCCACTGGCAACATCCATTAGCAAACCATAGCAACACAGAGCAGACAACCATGACCATGCACTGCAAGATAATGGCATTATCTTGTTGGTTTGACCATGCTACCGCTTGTTCCGCCATCTTTGTCGTGTTTGTCTTTTCATTTTAATTGTTCCTTCGTAAACTACTGTTTGAATTTGAACCAAGTTGACAGCTTTTTCTGCGAAAGATCAATCTGGCCACGATGACAGCGGCACTGTAACTCACCTACGTTATCCTTGCTACCTCTCATGTATAAGCAGAAGAGAAATGCAATGAGTTCTTGCAGCAGATTGCTTGTCAGGAATCCAAGTTGGGTTATGTGTCGGCAGAACAATCTCCCCCCGTTCACTCCTTTGGAGCTGACGATGTGCAATACCATTCCGTGTTGAATGAACTAGGGCTCTTCTTGACAGAGACGGTGTCGGGAGAAGATATTCTGTGTAAGGAGGATGATTTTGGTGATGAGGGATACCAAGACATGGATTGCGACTTTCCGACAACGAAACTACCGCATCAGGCGTCTTGGAAGTCTACCTCGACAGCCGCCACGGAGCGTGTCTCGTGGGCCACCAGTAGTAGTGCTAGTCTTTCTTCCAGCACTACTTCCCGGGCGTACTCCCGCAGCAACAGTAACAGCAGTGGCAGCAGCCATCATGAAGCCAATGAAGGTGTCAATCGGCTTCTTTGGGATTCCGCCGCGATTTACAGCGACTCCCGTCCACCCTCCAACTTTGTGGTATACAATGCTAATGGTGACAACACGCGCAACGGGGGAAGAGAAGAAGGACCCCCTCTCTTTGATGGGTCCGTGGCAAACTCTACCCCACCTCCTCTTGGCGGAATTTCGGCCGGACCATCGGGAGGGTCAGGGACCATTTTGCATTTGGCTTGTGCTTTGGATGCTCCTCTGGCTTTGGCGCTTCTTCTTGCCATGGGAGCTGATGCTCGCTCCACCCACACTGCCTTTCGTAGATTGATGATTCACGAGGCCGCTTGCAATGGATCCATTCAGTGTTTGACACTGCTACTAGAACTGGGACAAGCTTGTGCTCAGGGTGATGAACAGGAGGATAGGAAAATGATGACCAAACGCTTGCCGGAATCGGCTCGCTATACAGCTACGCAGGAACTTCGATTCTTGGATCAAAACGCGGCGGCTTCCTATTCCGAATATCAGCGACGACGATCAAAGGAGGTCCGATCTCGTGGTGGATTGTTTGGTGTCGGTGGTGGTGGCAACCAGTCCCAATCTGCTTCTTCTTGTTCATCGTCAACTTCTTCTACTACGGACAAGCCCAAAGGAGACTTTTTGCAGTTCCTTCGAATGTTCAGAGACTTCACGGCCATGGTCAAGAATGGTTTCATGACGGAATTGGATGCAGCCAGGGCGATCTTGGCACGAGCCAGCTTGGCGGAACCGTCTCGGGTTTCCTTGGCGCACTCTTGTACATTTCAAAAAGGACCTTTCGCTCTGTCCCGCGGAATCTTTCGTCCCCGTGGCGGTGGTTGCGCAGATGGTCACGGCAACACGCCACTTCATTGGGCTGCCTTCAAAAACGAAGTAAAGTGCGTCTCGTTGTTGCTCGCATACAACGCTGATCCAAATGCCCGGGCCCATCCTTCGGGATGGACCCCATTGCATGATGCGGCGTACAGCAACTCAAAAGAATCCATTGCTCTGCTTGTCGGATCGGGAGCACAAGTTGATGCCCGCGCCAACAGTGGCGCAACACCCCTTTGCTTTGCGGCTCAGGAAGATGCCGCCGATGCAGCGTTCTTGTTGTTAGAGCGTGGAGCTGACTTGGCTACCAGGTGTGCGGGTGGGCCATATGTACGATCCGACGACGACAACGGAAACAATCATCACCCTCACAGTCGATTCAGTGGGTACACTCCGCTGCACTACTGTGCTCATTATAATGCCCACCACGCCGCCCGGGTTCTTCTTGCCAACACAGCCGCCAAGAAGGCAATGGAGATCTCCGACTTGAGCGAACGTCTGCCCATTCATGTAGCAGTGGCGAGAGGGAGCAGTGATGTCTTGCGTGAACTCCTGCATGCGGGTGCTCGGGTGGAAACACCACAATCTCGTCAACGCGCGCAGTCTTTGGTACAGAGAAGAGCTGAAGCTGCTGTGGAGCGTCCAGCCGTTCCTCCAACCCCACGTGCCCGGAATCTGCAGCCACCTGGGGCCGTTCTCTCAACTCCTACTCGCGCTAGTCCCGCTGGATCCGACTCCACGCCTGTTTCGTCACCCGTTTTGAGAGCGATGATTCCAGCTCAACCAATCAATTCCTCTAAACCTTGGAATTGCCTCAGCCAGAGATCGATTGATGAATGCCGCGCACTGATCTCCCATGCCGAACAGAACTGGACGCCAGAACGACACTTGCTTTTCACTCCTGCCGACCGCCGAGCCGTGATGGAACTGCTCCGTGTCGGCAAGAGACTTGAGCTGCAAGGTTCTGGCATCTTTCTTGACTTGTGGCCACTGATTCTGAGCTTTTGTGGCCGTGGATGGTTCGAGATAGAGGGTCAAAAGAAAGAAGGAGAAGAGGAAGATATGCCCATGTGCTCCGTTGCACGCCTGACATATGAGCGAAACGGAGATGCGGACCTTTTGATGCTGCCATCGCTCACGAGGTGAAGAGCTGGCACGAGATGGTAGATGCTAACGGGGTGTATATTTCGAACTACGTGATCCCGTTCTCATACATTAGTTGGTGTGGGAGAATGTTGCTGTGAGATAGAATCATATTGTAGGACGACATTTAATAGTACGTTCCAGTTTCACATAGACGGGCATGCTTGTTCTAAAGGTAGCATGTAATAACTGATTCCGCCACTTTTGAATTGCCATGTGGTTTGCAAGTTGTTCGGTGGCGCTGTGGGGATAGCTACAGTACGGCACCCCGAGGCTGGGGTAGAGCGATCGTGTTGTGTAGGGACAACAAGCGGCGGCTGGAAAAAACATTTTGACTCCTCTCCACGAAAGGAAGCCAGTATGGATCCCTACTAGCAGCTACTGGATACCAAGCTGACTCAGGATACGGCTGAAGGACTAGCTCGATGTACGAGACACACGAGACTATCTTTGTTGATGTGGGGCTCTCAAGGGCCCCTCCACCATGCCAACTCCAGGACCAGCCCCTCCCCCACAGCCATTCCTTATCTCTCCCGTCTCCCACTCCAGGCTCATGTACCTCCCTGCTCCTGGAACCAAACCATGGCCATATCGTGGCCAAATCCGTGTCCCATACCGACTCACTACAGGCCAAGACAGGCCCCAAGCCTGGACCAACTGCTGGGTCTGCACTTGAACCAGAGCTTGAACTACACTCAAGAACAACACCAGGACCTACCTCAGACTCCATCCCAGACCTAATCCCAGACCAACCCATTAGTATGCCATTGGATGGCATCGTCTGTTACAGGGAAGAATCTCCACACAATTCAGCCAGGAACGAGACAGATACTATGTCAATATGAGAAAGACTGCAACTCAACACAACAACCGACTCACATGGCCCACAGGGCTCATTGACATTATATACAAAGGAAGGTGAAAACTCTGGGACATGTGCAACATTGCCAAGCCCCAGTCCTTTGCCAGATCGCAGTCCTGTTCTCTGGCTAGACTGACTAACACCAAAGGTCCTATCCCAACCCAAACTAGCTAAGACCTTCACTTTGCCCCACTCCCAAACCATCTCCAGGCCCCACTACTGGTCCCAAGACAGCCAGCCAACTCGTGGCCCCACCCCCAGACCGACTCAAGGACCAATACCTGGACCAAAGAGTGAACCCACAGCAAGAACAACACTTGCACCTACTCCAGGCTACACCCCAGACCAAGTCCTGGTCTACTCTCCAGCCAGGCCCCACTCTGGTATTCCCACCACAGCTGGACCAATTCCAAGACCTACTCCTGGACCTACCAGTATTCCTTGACCACTGCTAGAACCTATTCCAGGTCTCACTCCCAAGACCAATTCCTCGACAAGTACAGAGCCAACTCTTCATTGTCCCACACCTGGACTGGCACCAGGAGAATTCCTGGATCCTGGATCCTGGATCCTCCACAACAGGCAACTTGATCTAAATCCTACCGTACCTGGTAGCGTAAAGGTACTCCATACACCGCACTCAACGAAACTCCATTCGCCCTTCTGCTACTTTAATAGCTAGCTAGCTAGTAGTAGTACCAGGTACCGAGGGCTAAGTGTCCTCGTTGAGATAGATGTTGAGATGAGGATTGGTGCTTCTCTTATTGTTATCGTCTGTCTTCGGCTGTTCTTCCCAGCGAAAACCCATCTGCATCTTCGGCATCTGGATAGCTATCCTCTAATAAAGTCTTGAGCTGGCTACCTTAGCCTATCCGTTCTTGCTCTATCGTCATTTTGTCACAATCTGCCCTCTTTGTCTGCCCCAACCAAACCTTATCCTTTCCAGAACCCTTGGCCCAATTGCCTCCCATCCGCTGATGGGAGCCAACTGTTCTGATCCTTCTCTGCCAACTGTTCTGATCCGAGTTGCAGTTTCTGGACACTCAAAGAGTTATTGTTGAATACCGCGAAACACAAAGATCTTGGAGATGCAGCTGTCTGCAGAACAATGCCATCTCCAAAAAGGGCCAGCTCGCATGAGAAGCGGACGAAAAGAAGACTTCTGAGCGAAAGCTGTTTGGATCAAGTATGGCATCAAAGCACGAAGACACAAAATCAGAGGCAACCAGCAGCAGCAATGCTCTCAAAGGAAGAAAGAAAAACGACCATCCTTCCTCTCATATAATACCCTGGCAACATCAAAACTAATCAACAGAACAACTATCCAACAAGGACTCTTCCATTGCTACATTACATGCACAGCCTATTGTGTTGAATAATACCCAAACAGTTGATTATCTGAGTGCTACCCAAAGAATTCTGCGCATTGTTCTGTCGGAATCCATCTACTGACAAGAAAGATTTTCTGCCAAATACGTACAATTTCCAAAATGCCCTTTTCCCCTCGCATTGCCATACTATCACTGGGTGTGATTCTCGCGTCGAGAACCACTGCCGCCTTTCATGTGGGTCACAGCAACAGCCGGTCGTCGTCGTCGACAACGCAACTAAGTTCCAAGAATTCTGACAGAGCCCACATTGAACGGAATTTGGAAGACATGATGAACAATGATTGGCGTGTGTTTCGAGCAAAGCTGGTGTCGCAAGAACAGGCAGAACAGGAAGCCAACAAGAATAGAAAGAACAAGAAGAAGAAGGACGGATCCATGGACGACGAAAAGCTCGCCAAACAGGACAAGTTGGGAGATTTGTTTGCACAAACCATCTCTTCCATTTTCAAAGGAAGCAGCAGCAAAGACCATGTTAGCAGCAACGGAGGCAGCAGCAGGGGTGATATTTTCAAAGGAGACTCTGTGGGTGGAGCCTTGCCGTTGGAAGATGAACTGTTATATCACGACCCCTTTGTCAGTGCCGCCGAACTCCCCATTCTCATGAAGCCCACACCAAAGATCAACAAGCACCGCTGGGCACATGAAATTTCACATGTCGAACCGGGATGTGTCCTCATTGCCAATGAAAAACTGGGAGGAGTCTTTCATCAAACAGTCGTCTTGATCATTGAACACCATGAAGCATCAGGGTCCACTGGTATTGTCATTAATCGGTGAGTTCCATTGTTGTTGTTGCATCACACTGTCGGCGTGCAATGTACCGTACGGGACGTAAACTCATCCTCTTTTGTCCATTTTCGCTTGCCAGACCCATGCAAGGAAACCTACTGAAGATTGCTTCCGAGCAAGTATCCAAGTTGGATTTGTCGCTCAAGCTGGCATTCACCAAGGCACCCGTCACATACGGTGGACCCGTCTTGTCCGAAGAGTTCTCAATCCTGCACGGATTCGGAGAAGTCGAGGGATCTCGGAAACTCTGCCCGGGAGTCTTTGTGGGAGGCTCGGAAGAGTTGATGAATGAAGTACGAATTGATCGGTTCCAACCGGAAAACGCACTCTTTGTCAAGGGGCATGCCGCATGGGTACCTGGACAACTGCAAAGAGAAATCTCCAAGGGTGTCTGGTACACGGCGGCTGCTTCCTCTGATTTCATCCTCCGGTATGCAGGAGCGCCCTGCACAGAAGAAGACAACAAGGAAGACTTGTGGTCAGACATTTTGTCGTGCATGGGCGGCAAGTACGAAAAAATTGCCGAAATGCATGCTGGGCGAGGTGATATGCGAATGATGCCATAGTAGAATACCGGTATGGTAGCAGTACGGTAGGAAGAGACGTGTTTCGATGTTTGTGCAATGATAGGAAATTATATGGTCTTTTTTGTCAGAACACCCAACTAAAGAAGAAATAAATTGACACTCTAAAGTTTATAATCCACATTTGATTATTATTATTGATACCGTACCGAGAAATCTCTTTTGCTTGTCTACCTGATGTTGAACGTCGATGCAACCGAATGCTTATCACAGTTGGTCAGCGCATCGACCACCTTTCACAACTTGCAAGAGTTGGAAAACGGAGGCATAGTCTGCTGCCCTCTCAGCAAGGCTCCCTTTTGACAATGGACGAAAAGCTCTATGGTCTTTTCAATCAGCTACTCTACTAGTAGCCAGCTAGCTCCAATGACGGCAAGCTAAGATTCCCTTCAGCTACTAGCTAGCTAGCTAGAAGCAAGGCATCTTATCATGATTATCTATTCAGTAATGCGGCAGCAACGCCACTTCACTTTATGTCCTAAACCATTCAATCGACCAAAAGACAACCGAAGCTATCTGTATCTGAACGATCTCGTTGTGTCTATGATTCGATTCATAGTAGCGGGGAGTATGTCCCATTTTCCTGACAACAAGCATTAGCTGCTGCATCGAGGTGGCTTTTTGTATGGCACCATACAGGGAATGTTGTTGCTGGCCAACACTGTAGGCACAATACAACAGAGCAAATCTCCTTAGCCTAGCCATAGCCTTGGAAGCGGCTACCATAGTAGCTGCGGTTGTTCCATGACCATATCCAGTAGCCTCCTGTGGACGCTGCCGCCCTCATGTTGATAGGATAAACATATGATTCCAAGCACCGCCACCGCGGCTGACATGAACCACTTTGCTATCCTCTCTTGACCACGAATCTCTTTGAAGTAGAATACTCCCCACAAGCCACTCACCAACAGTTGCAACTGACAAAAACTAAAGCCAACTCCTTGACCAAGGTATTCCACCGCCAACATTGCACTAAAATTTCCAAGGCTATAAAGCAACCCTGCCGCCAAGCCAGCCTTCCACAAATGCTCAAAATAAAACTTTGGGAGCGCTTGTTTCACTTCCTCCCAGTTTCCTTTCTTTTGGTGCCACTGATATCCAATCAATAGAATCCAGAGAACAGTATTGACCACCAACGATCCAGTGGCAAAGCTGACCAAGAATGCGGCACCAGACAGACCATGGTCTCGCCGTGCATAGTGAAGCGGAATAAGGTTGAGACCACCCCAAGCACCATTGATGACGGCGCCAATTACACCCGTCTGATGTCGTGTCAGGGCCATTCTGCCACCCCAAAAAATGATGCGATCTTTGCTTCCAGTCAATTTGGCGCTGGAATCATCATCCATCTCAGCAAAGTCACCATTAGTTGATTGATCTGGATTCTTCCCTTCTTCTAACAGGGGTTCGATCTCCATGGGCTGTAGATTGGACACACCTTTCTCCACGGGTGTTTTGGGCTTTGGTGACGAGTATTCTTCTGACTTTGTGGGTGCAGTGGGTCTTGGCGATTGTACCAGTTTCTTGGGTTCAGAATCATCCGGTGCTGCCGCATACTTGGCCATTCCAACGAGTCCAACGATCAGAATTAAGAATGAGTAGCATGTGTAGTAAAAGTTCTTGACTTTTTCTTGAAACACGACAATGCCAAAGATAAAACTGGTCAAAACGATAATGGAAGACCATGTACCCACTGAACGCCGTCACCAGGATGAAACAGACAAACAATGTGTGAGATAATCAGAAAATCAGGTAGCAAGCTACATCCACAAAGGCAGAAAGTAGGTTCTTTACCTGCAATGGCCATGCCAGCATTGCGGATACCATAAATTCCAGCACATGCCCCTGGTACCCAGAATATTCCAGAAGCCAAGCCCCAATTTGACCATCTTATTTCTTCGCCGAGGAATATCACTAGGAAACTGGTCACAAAACAGACCATAGTTTTGTAAGATTGCAAGATGAACGGATCCACTTCGACCTTGACAGATGTCTTGACTGGTACACCGAAGGAACCAAACGCCAGGACGCACAGGATAGCCGCTGCCCAGCCACAATTGTCGGCACAGCCAGTGAGCATTGATTCCGCCATTGTTATATTTCTTTTCTAATAGCTTTGTTACAACCAAACAACCAAAGAGGGCTGATAACTATCGATAATGATATCTTCCTGGGGCTGGCTTGGAAGGCAAGAGTGGCAGAGAAGAAGAGCGGTACCAGTCTTTGAATGATGGCCAAAAGAGCTGCGCCGAAGGGTCTCTGTGATGCCAGACCTTCTTTCATTAAGGATAAGGTACACCGGGAAAGACCATAAATTTTTTGCCGAGTTGTCCGGAGTTCAGACAAAGACATGAGGTGCGCCAACCTTCGTCGTACGGTAGCAGAGTTTTGACCGTTCTGGCATTTTTCTCACTACCGGTATCCCGCAACCAATTGGTAACTTTCCCTCCCCTGTAAAGGTTAGAATGGAATACTATTCTCATCACTAGCACCATGGCACAACGCAGAAAGAGCATCCTTTCAGCAACCTCGCCATTTCGGTGGCAGGCTGCCTTGTGTTATCTTGCATTCACGATAACGTTTCTGTTGAGCAATACGGTCTGTTGTTTCATGTTCCATCCAGAGCAGTCATTGCGGGGTTTGCTACCCCTCCGCAATACACAATCCCCTTCTACCGCCGCGCTAACCTCTCTGCTTGCTTTGTCCATGGCAGGTCCCCTATGCCCCGTTCATGGCTATCACCCTCCTTCCAAACCATGCCAACGCCGAGAACGTGGGCAAGTACTCCGCCTTTTTCACATCTTGTGTCATTTGGGGTCGATCTGGTAAGAATGTTTCATTCCTCATCAAGAAGTTTTCATCAATAAAAGCTGCAGTTGGGCTCATTGGTAGAAAACATTCTCTTCTTTCCAGCTGGTGCAGGCAAATGGGGCCGAATGGCTGATACCAGAGGGAGATTGCAGGTTCTATACATCAATCTGATCATGTCAACCATGTTCACGTTGGCATTTGGTCTTTCAAACAATTACTTTGTTGCCTTGGCGACAAGATTCTTTTTGGGCTTGTTTTGTGACATTGGGTCCATCACCAAAGTCTGTGTCTCGGAATTGGCAGGGAAAGATCGTGAACTGGAAGCCAAATCAATGAATCTTGTGGTGCTAGCCTGGGCCCTTTCCAGTTTGCTCTCGCCCGCCATTGGGGGAGTTTTGGCAGACCCTGTCAAGCAGTTTCCAGATGCTTACATATTACAACAGGACCCAGTTGTACATGAGTTTCTCCTGCAATACAAGTACTTTTTACCGAATCTAGTTGGTGCCATATTGTGCCTCATCGGAGTTCCCGTTGTCAAGTTCAACCTAAGAGAAACTTTGACTGATCAGGATGAGGATGCTCCGACAGGAGAAGAAGAAAAGACAGAGGAAGACCCGTTGATTGGTCCTGGTTTAGGCGAATCCTACGTGTTGTCACGAGAGGCAATCCAGATTGCCAAAGCTCAAGATGACGAAGATGCCCTCCTAAGGGATGCCTACGTCTTGACGGATGACTTTGAAGGTGTAATGACAACGGCGCAATCACGTCATGCCATTTTTGTCTCCAACAAATCATTGATGCACGAGGAGGAGGACAACAATCAACAAGAGTCCAACAACGGAGACGACGACAGCACAAATGCTGGAAGACCACCATCGACGCTCGGCTTTCTCTGTAATTGCAACAATCTGTCTCATCTGATCGTGTATTGTCTGGGTCTGTTCCTGATTCAATTCAACACAGAGGCATTTCCTCTCTTTTGTTTGAGTCAAACGTCGGGACTAGGACTTGACGAAAGTACTATCGGTGGGATCATGATGGCCAGTGGCCTCATCCATTCACTATTGCAACCCAGCATTTATCATTGTGTATTTGCTCGCCGAGGTCTCAAAGGATCCATCAAGTGGGCTGCCACTGCGGCAATTCCGATGTTCTTTCTTGTTCCCTTCGCTTTGCTGAGTAAGAAAGTGGGCCCCGATCATCATTTGAGATGGATGGAATTGGTTTACTTGGGCGTCATTGGAGGGCTGGCAAAAATCTTTACTGTGACATTTTTCAGCAGCATCTCGGTTTCCATGAATCGGTTAGTTCCAAGAAAGCAGCGTGCTACGTTCAATGGATTATTGACCAAAATAGCAGGAACTTGCAAGGGCATGGCACCGATCATGGCAGGATTCTTTACCGCATTTGCATTTTCATCTCGCTTTTTGCCTCCTTGGTGGTGGGGACGAAGGTGGTGGGGTGGAGTGCTGCTCTATTCTACCATGGGATGGATGTCCATCTGCTTGGCATTCCTGTCGTTTCTCCTGCTGGGACGTGATGAGCCACATTGAGTTCACAGCGGTGGTTGCGGTGGTGTGTCACTCTAGGACAGGCAGAAGAAAAGAAATGAAAGGAGCTGTATGAATGATAAGAGCCGAACCCAGAGTGATGACCAAGACTTGACTGCAAATCCAACACCCTGTCCTGCCTTCACCAGTGCCTTTCAACCTGTGAACCCTGGTCAAATGATTGCTGAGCTTGCATGTGGTCTAGCAAGTCAGCATCGTGTACACTCGTATCATTTGCTTTGCAAATCACCTTTCTAGCTAGACATGTAATCTTGATAACTTTCTAAACTGGTACCGTAGCACCACTTGGTGGCCTTGAGTGCTGCAGCAAGAAATCCCGCCACTGCCAAGTTGGTGGATGATGGACTAGCTAGCTATTGGTACAAGACCAACCAAGACTTACCCCATCCATCAATTTCCACAGGAAGTCCAGCGCCTAAAGGCCTGAGTTGCCAAAGTGATTGATTGAATCATCGAATCGAATCTGAATCAATCATTCTGGAAGGACAGATCGAGCCTTGCTACCTGGTACTGGTACAAGTTGTACCAGGTACGGGCAGCTATCGTACACGGTCAGTACTAGCTAGCTACCTCGGTAGTACGATTTGGCCATGCTAGCTACAGTAGCGTACGCTTGCTCTTGTCGAACCTGAACCCTACTGTGGTATCTTGGCGAAGAGAAATCTTTCTTCGTCGTTTTGTTGCTTTTGCTGAGAAGTCCGGCAGTCAAGATGATGAGGCCATCATTTCGACGCTTACTGCTGGGCTTGAGTCTTATTGACATCCTACTTGTAGCATCGATTCCATACATCGCTGGGTCTTCCGAGGATGTTGGTGACACAGCGGATTTGCCACCAAAGGATGTTTCTTCGGTGGATGATGATACCTCCTCTTTGCCATTTGTCTTGGTGACAGGTGGAAATGGATTGGTGGCATCGAATCTCATTATGGAACTCTTGCAACGAGGCTATCATGTCCGAGCCACGGTGAGAAATCCATCCAAGGTGTCCCACCTACGAACTTTGCGCAACTCCGAAACCAAACTGGAAATTGCCGCCTTGGATTTGAAGGAGAAGGATGTGCAAGTGTACAGAGCCCTGCTGAAGGATGGCATTGATTGGATCTTTCATGTGGCGGCACCCTTTGTCGATGATTTGCCACAATCTGACGAGACTATGGAAATGGCGGTCCAGTCCATGACATTGTTGCTGCAAGCAGCAGCCCAAGAATCAAGTGTCTCGCAAGTGGTCTACACGGGATCCGATAGCGCCGTGGTCTATGGTTATGCTGACAATCCCATCAAGGCAGATCCCAACTATATCTTTACTGAAGATGACTGGACCAATGTCACGTGCACCAAGGGTATGACCGACTATGCCAAGATGAAAACACTTACAGAACTGGCGGCCTGGGAATTTGTTGAGAAACATGCTCCCAACTTTAGGTTTTCCAGTCTGTTACCCAGTTACATCTTGGGGCCGTTGGTGTCGGATACTGTGACCAGTTCCAAGAGGATTGTTTATGAAATCATGGCAGGAAAATATCCAGGTGTCATTGATCTCTACATTCCCATGGTCGATATCAGGGATGTTGTTGAGGCTCATTTTCGAGCTGCCATGCAAAGCAAAGAACCAGCGGGTAGCAGATGGGCCAACCAGAGGAGGCGGTTCCTATTGACACGAAAGAAGGGGAAGGATGTCTTTTTTCCCGAAGTTGCTGGCATTCTCAAGGATCATTTTGGTCCAATGGGATATTCCATTTCTACCTGGCCCATTCCAAATTGGTTATTATGGATTGTCTCCTTGTTTGATAGTGAACTGGCAACAATGTCACAAATGCTGGGTGTGGGAGAAAACTACGACAACACCAAATCCATTGAGGTCCTAGGATTGACTTATCACACCAATGCCACTGAAATAATTCTGGAGACAGCACATGCAATGATTCAACAGGGACTGATACCTAAAAAGAAGGGATATCAGGCTCGGGGCATTTCTGGAAGTGATGAGCTGTAGGGTATGGCAGTACCATGCAGAGCTAGTACGGTGCTGGGCATCGTACCAGTACGTGTACCAATGTCCTTGTTACAACGGTGGGAGTTGCGCCACTTCGACCTGGTCTGAGCGCGTTGGTTCAACGTTCTAACATTCGATACCGGTAAGGTTAAGGCTATAGTTTTGTGACAGTTAACGTTCGTCCGGCGCAGTTCAACAGCGATTTCCCTCGTCTCATTTTTTCCTGATTTCCGAACACCACTCTACCGTACAGTAAACGTCAACCATGAAGTATCGAAAGGTTGGTTCAGGAAGCTTGTACAATGGCGTGGGATCGTCAAACTTGTGGACCAAGTCTAGTGAGTCAGGGCCATCGGGGGGATGCGCTGTGATGAGAGTCAACAACAACCGAAAACAACCCACAGCCAACAAAACCAAGGATAACGCCCATGCGGAAGAAGAAGAACAGAACAAGACTGTATCGAAAGTGAATGTCACGGGAGCTGAAGTAACGCAAGAGCAAGGCAGTGCACTCTCCGTCGTCTCCGAGGACGAGACGCATCATCCGAAACCGGATCAAGTGCCTCCTTCACCAGCGAAGCAGACACATTTGACGTATTTCAACGACGAACGAAAACCACCTCCCAGCTTCATCGTTGGACAGCATTACAAAGCTGCAATCCAAGAAGACGCAGGTTCTAGCAATCAAATGCAGTTAAGACCTTCTGGGATGCTGTGTTTGGAAGAAGTCTTACTCCCAGCTATTGCTCACCAAGAGCAACACGATCTCAAACAAATCCAACGAAGAACCCAACGTGATGTTCCTCATCTCACCCATATCGTCAAAACTGGACGACTGGCAGTGAAGAAGAGTTTGATCGCAGCAATTGATGCAGCACAGAATTCAAGACTAGAACGACGCGTTCTCGATGATCAACGAGAGAAAGCGGCGGAACAAAAGCGCCAGCAACAGCGGGAAGAAAACCGACAACAGCGAGCACGAGACTTGGAACAGCGCCGGGGAGAAGAAGCCAAGAAGAAAGAACTCAAGAAACAAAAAGAGACACGAGAAATGAGAAAGAAATATCAGCCCAACCAAGAACTCTGGCGTGAGGCTGCTTATCTCATGACAGAATCATCCAAATTGGAACGAGAAGGTCGCCTTTGGGCGGATGCGGAAGGGTTGCTCGATGCCGCTGAGAAGGACTTGGAAGCTCGAGAACAAGAAGCCAACAATCAAAAGAGAGAAAAGGATGCGACAATTGACAAAATGGCCAAAGCAGGAGAAGAGGAGGAAGAAGAAGGCTTGGACAGTGATGTGTTTGTGTCATCTATTCAGGGCGTTATTAGCTCATCGAACAGCATCCAGACAGCATTGAAATCCCTGACGGACTTGATGATGAGTACAGAGAAGCTTCGAAAGGACGTCTACCAGCGATACCGACAAGACCACCAATTTGACGGCTACAGGGGTGTGAACAATCCCAAGGGGCTCATTAGAATTTTGAGTCAAGAGGATTAACTTGGAGAAACTTTAACTTGGTGGCGACAGACTTGTACGGCAATAGCTTGCTCTAGCTCTAGTAGTCATACATGTACATATAGTCTTGCGAAGTAGGAGTTAACTACATCCAGTAGGCACGCTTATCGTCTGAAAATCTTTCGTATCCGAGAGGGAGGCCATACGCAATACAGGCTGTATCGAAGCTATTAATGCAAACGCAAGCCGGCTGCCGGCACGCGAACCGGAACATCCTGGAACGTTCCGTGAAAAGACTTAAGGGACATATAGCCTCAACCTTAAATTCAACTGACATCACCCGGATCGTTCGATCGGTCCAAGCCACTCGTATCCTCCTCTTTTTCATTATTTCGATACCTCTATCTTTACTCTCTATTGACTCTATCAAGATGATGCTATCTCCTCTTCTTTACAGCCTCTTAACAAAGGCTACTACTCACCACCATGACGGGCTCCTCTTGTTTGGGTAGTGGCAGTGGCAGCCGTTCGACGATCGGTCGATGACAAGAGCTTCCGTTCGACGGATGACTGGTGACTTCTTCTTCTTTCTCTTTCACGGAGCGACCATGACGCATCCTCTTCCACGGAGCGACCGACAACAACAACAAGCGGCTACGGTTAATGCAACAACAAGCGACACCTGGAAGGAGCCGTGTGACGGATCGATCGGCCGATGACTGCTTCCGTTCGACCGACCATGACTGGTGACTGGCTACTACTATGTATTATCTATTCTTGTCCCTCTCCTCCTCCTTCTTCATCCCAACCAAAGAAAGGAGTGGTATCTTCAGTATCAGCAACTTCATCCCTTCTGGCCAGACAGATCTCCAACTCATTTTCAATGGAGCCCAAGCCTGTATCCAAGTTTGATCTGTGGACAAGCCTCTCCTTGAGAATGGAAACCATGTCCACTTCTTCTGTCCTAGAGACTTCCAAGCGGTCCTGAACAGTCTTTGGTTGGCGTGCCTCTGCTTGCTTGATTCGATCATAGCCCAACCAGTAGGCTTCAACAATCTCCCATTCCGCAGTTGTCTTGAAATTGCGACGAGTGACACTAGGACCAATCTGTGGCTTCTTTCTGCGTGTACGCTTGGTGATATTCAAGCCATGTTCTTTGATCTGTTCTTCGGTTGGCTTATAATACTCCTTGGCGTATTTGTCAAGCTGATCCTTGAAGGACATTACACTCCCTTCTTCCGGCAGATGCATGACTTCGTTGTTGATCGACAGATATCCAAGCATGTACTTCCTGCACTTGCGGCAGAAACGCATGGTTCTTGCAGCATCATTCATTCGGAGAGCCTCGTTGGCGACTGTGATGAAACTCTTGAAATTGATCCGACGGTGCATTGGCATGCGACGAATGTATCTTTTGGAGAAGCCCCAAGTGTCTTCGACTCCTTCACCGGCAATGTTTGGATGGTACTTTGGCGTGAAGACAACGGTGACAGTGCAGTTGCCGTCTGAGAGCTCTTTCGCAAGGTGTTCCAGATCGGTCATTTCACTGGCAAAGTCAGGACGATTTGCCATGAGCCGTGACAAGATCCACCGTTCATGTCCTTCCTTTATGTTGCCATCCTCATCCAAGTCGGCCTTGGCCGGTTCTTTGTGATATTTGTTGTCAGCGTGGTCCTCTTCGCTGATCCATCCCGTTTCCCAGAGGACCTGACTGAGCCCCTTCGCCCGACCAACCCATCCAGAAGTCTTGATTCGGGGCTCTTCCTTGTAAATGTCAAGCCCCGCCTCCGCCAGGCGCTCTTGCAAAGCGCTCTTTGTGAGATTGCCTTGCGGCAACTCTTTACCGGCAGCTTGGTATTCCGCTCTCATTTCTTTGACAGTCTTTGGGACGCTCTTGGTGGATTTGACGACAGTGTTCAACGGAAAGCCATCCTCTTGCGCTTTGGCTTGGAGTTTCTTCAAGCAGCCCTTTCCCTTATCAAGCAACTTTGAATCGACTTTGCGGTGAGCTGCGATTTCCTTGCGAAGTTGTGCCGCAGTCTTGGGCTTGACCTCATCTTTGTGGAGGACATCATACCGCTGGTCCATCCGTTCTTCGGGGCTGAGGTACCAAGGGCCGTCGTCTGGCTTCAATTCGTTCTCGTTGGAGTCTCACATGAGCTCTTGTTCGTCTCCCACTTCATACAGCGATGGCCCGAATGATCCAATACATCCCTCGCTAAGTGTGGTTGGCCGCATCTGCATCTTGCTACCATGATCTCTAAGCATACAGTTGACGTCCAAGCCTCCGTCGATCTTCTTTGTATGGCCGCTGCTTTGGTCGAACAGGAAGACGAAATCATGACCTGGGAACATCACCTTGACACAGTCAACGTTGTCTTCGAACTGAATCTTCATTCGGTTGCCATTCCAGTATCCGTCGTGTCCTTGGCCGATTTGGATACAACGCATGAATGGGGATTTGCACATTGCTTCCGCTGCCTCTTTGGTAATTGGTGGCTTGGACGGATTTCCAAGTTCGATTGTGGCCGCTTCCTTGGAGACATATTCCGTTCCTTGACGCCGCCTATTGATTTCTTCAAGCCACTCCGATATATCTGGATCCATTCCGAAGGCATCCGAGACGAAGGCACTCACATGAAGACATTGGCCATCGTTCTTCTTGCGGAGAATTTGCTCACCGTCAACGCTCCAGGCTTTCTTCGAAACGATGAACTGCATGAACACAGACTCGTCTTGTCCGATGATGATGACTGGACGCTGATGACGATGATTTGGGTCAAAGTCGCGCTTGAGTCCTCCACCAAACTTGCGCTGCTTCTCAGGTACGAATTGAAGGAGTTTTTCATGGTTGGCGTCAATGTGGTATTCCCGCATCTCAACCTCTTCGTAATCTTCTTCGATCTCGTATGTCGTGTAGCTAGTGTTTCGAGTCCGCTGCCAGGAATCCTTCGGCTTCCAGCTCCCTGGCGGCGGTTGCGGGCACCTGCGCCCAGCGATAGCAGCGTTCTTCGAGTTCAAAGTACCGTTTGATGAATTTCTTGCGGTAAGCCACGTTGTCAGGACGCTCATGACCGTCGGTATAATACGTCTTGGTGTTCTCACGGTACTCGAATCCCAAGAGCCGCAACCAACGCCATGCAGTGGAGACAGAGATCGATTTGAGACGAACCATGGCGAGGAACTGATCCTTGTTGAGTGGCTTGATGCTAGAGAGAGCCAGCTCATGATTACACCTCTCCAAACAGTGAGGGACTACGGTGTCAATCAGATACCGCTGGGCGAACTCGCAGGTGAGTTTTTCCAAGTTCTTCTTGCAATGACGATACAGCATAATGGGAGCTTCCGGACACACACTGAAAAACTCAACGCTTCCTTTGCCATTTGTTCTTCGCGGAGGCATGAAACCCTCGTGTCGCCTGAAGTATCATTGGATTTCGTACACAACTCTCCAATGGTTGTATGCGCGATTTCCACCGTTACGGCAAGCCTGGACGGCAAGATTGATGCTATTTTCCCAAGTCCAGTCGTACCGGGGAATGGCGTCAAGCAAGAGCCACTTCGTAAGCTCTGCAGAGGAAGATTGCTTTGTTCGTGATGGATTGTCTTGCACTGACGGAGAGTTCTTCGAATTCCTGGTCCGTACCAACAAGGATTGATGGCATCTCCCTCCAGTCGTCAATAGCAGTTCGCAGCTTCTGGATACGCTCCTCCAAACAATCTTTGACAAATTGATTCGGCAACGGTTTGAAGACGATCCGAAACTTCTCCATTTCGAGCCTCTCCGGACCAATCTTTGGAGGAGAATGCGGTCGAGTCTTACGGTAGGCAGCAGCAACGGAGCCAACAGAGGGAACCTGACTGTGACAGAATGATTGGTCATCAAGAAACGAGTCGTCGTCTTTGGCAGCTGACGGACCAGGAATTGTTTTGGGGACGGAGTGGTCATCTTTGGCTATGGATTCGTCTTGGGCTGCTGGTTCGTCATTGTCGAGCATCTTCAAGCCGCGAGACGGTATCTTCAAGCCGCGAGACGGTATCTTCAAGCTGCGAGACGTTCTCTTTGGTAGGAGAGTCGTCAGCGCCGAGCTCATCCTTTTCTAAATCAACGTGTCCAACCAACGCTTGTAGATACTCCCGCGATGAACGGCGACGGCGAACCGCAGCACGGGGACTACGGCGAACCGCAGTACCACCGTTTACGGCTGTGGGCTCAAATGGAACGGGATTTGGTTTCGGCTTCGGGCTACCGGGACGATGGCTGTCGGTACGAGTACGAGGATGGTGCGCTAGCGGTGTCTCTTCCTTGTTTTGCTTTTTCGAACGCTGCAGAGTTTGTGCCGTCTCTGATGCCTGCCTCTTACGTCCATCGTCATTTGGTTGCGGTAAGTCTGTGTTCGACTTGTCTACAACGGTTGTTCCCCCTAAATTCCCCGTTGTGTTGTTATTTATAGGCTTTCCTTTTTGGTTATTGAGAGTTTCCCTCGGTTGCTGCCTCAAAGAGTCGATTTTGTCATCCATCTTTCCAAGGCTAGGAGATCTCTGTCTTGTTGATCTAGATCTCTCTGTATAAGATTTCATGGTAATGAAGTCAGCTTGAGAGCCAAACTCAATTTCATGGCATTTCAAGAGTAAGTCCTGTCATAACTGGTTCTCTTTGTTTCCTGGAAGAGTAGGAGCTTTCTTGGATCTAGAGAGGAAAACCAACCATCTCTTCTTCTTTGTTGACAGAAATCCATCATTGGTGGTGTACTGCTTCCATGTGGATTGCTTGTGGCATTGAACAGGTTTGTTGTTCTTGCTGCTGATTTTGAATTTGCCAGTCTTGTACTCCTCCATTGCCTTTGACAATTCCCCTGTGGCCACATCCTCTGGTTCTACATTGTATCTCTTACAGATGACTGCTTTGAGGGCATCAATGGTCAACCAACAGTCCTTGAAGGGGGAGACATTGTCCTCCTTCTTGGCATCAAGGAGATCAACCACCAATCCAGCCAGGAATTCTCTGCTGAGCTCCATGACAAGCCTTGGAGATAGCTAAT